AAATGGAATGAGATATTGGTGTGCACTCCACCCGAAATGAAGGTGGACTTAAATAAAGTGTGGACGCTCCGGTCGATCGTGGGTCGATCAAACAACTGCTCCTAGGCAGTTGTCAACGTCATTTTAAATTTTAAAAATTTATTTTTTCTTTTCATATTTGTTTATACTCGCAAAAACGGTCACAGAGGTGGCCGACACGCCGTAAATTCAATTCAAAACGGATGCAGGTTCATGTTGGGTAATTCATAGCGAACATTACGTATAATATTTTGCCCAGTCAGTTGTTTGACTGGATTTGTTCCACCTTGGACGAAACTTGCTCTCATTCGAAAGTAGCACATTTCTACCGACTTTTTGCCGAACGTGGCAACGGTGTTCAACGGCAAGTGGTGGATGCGTACACAGAATTTACAAACATCTGGTGTTTGTTGTTGTGCACAGTGAATTTGTTGCGAGTATTCAAAAATGTTTTCAGGTTGTTTTAGCGGCAATTATAGCATTGTTATCATTGGTAGACAATTTTCAAAGACAATGGGACGTCGGAAGTGCATTCTTTGTGGAGTTAGCAGTGAAAAAACTGAGGCAACCTTCCACAGGTGAGTTAGAGGTTAGAGGAGGACAAGGGCGTAGCGCATGGGGATGCGTTGTAATTTTTAGTATTAAGAAATAGACATTTTATAGTTATTGGTTGTTTTTACACTGTATGTGTGGTGATTTTCAAAAAATACTCTTCTGTTAGACACATTTTTGATCTTTCAGGTTTCCTAGTGATAAGAAAAAACAAGAAGAATCTCCAATGGGTGAATGAAAAGATGAAAGTTAAACTTGCCGTCCAGACTTTGAGCAAGAGTTTTGCAGAAGCATTGGACTTTTTGAACAAAGATCTGGCTATGGCTGACTTCAAGGATTCAGAAGCTACAGCATATTTTTGTAGAACAGTAAACAATTTATTTGATGTTTTTAATTCAAGGAATAGGATGTCAAAAAAACCTTATGAGAAACCGTTGTCAGCTGCTACTGAACAATATTTCAATTTCTTAGAAGAAGCGAAGGATTATTTGAAATCGTTAAAATTAGGAGACACTAGAGTTATACTTTCTAGAAGAAAATTAGGATTTTTGGGATTCATAATTTCAATAAACAGCCTGTATGGATATAGAGTCAAAGAAACCAAAGAGCTGAAGTACCTTCTCACATATAAGTTATCTCAAGATCATTTTCTTCAGTTGTATAAGAAGCAAAGGAGGATACAGCAATAAACCTACCTCGAAACAGTTTCAGAATATTTTAAAAAAATTATTACTTCATACTGAAATAAGTGGCAATGAAGCATCCAGTGTCGTGGCATTAGATAGCACATCCATTTTGCACTGTTCATCATCATCTTTAGAGATCAAAATTAGTGAGGATATGATCTCATCATCAAACAGTATAGAGGAAGATGAAGATTTTATACAATTTAAAAACTTTCTTCGAATAAGTCCTTGGTAGCTTAAACTGTATTTGGAAGATGTTGTTGCATATGTTGCAGGTTTTGTTGTCAAGAGGCTAAAAAAGTCTATAAAATGCCAGAGTTGTTTAGATTTCTTAGAAACTTCAGGAGATTCTATATCGAAATTACAAATAAGAAAAACATATGGAAAATTAGTTAAAGCCTCCGCTTTTGTAATAAATGTGTGTAAATATGAAGAACATTGCTTTAGGTTATATAAGGAAAGGTTAGAAGTTGGCAAAAAAAATATGACAAGTGCTTCACAAATATTAACCAATTATACATTGCAAAATTTACCTCTTGGATTCGAAAATGTGTTTAAGGACCATGTATTCGAAGATGAACCTTTAAGTAATCATTTTCCATTGCTCTGTAAACAAGTTTTAGAACAATATTTTACCATTAAGTTGTACCATTATACCTCTAACTTGAATGCCCCTTCAAAACGTGTACGATCATTACTCACAAAAAGATTATTATTTCAAAATCAATATAACCTGATAATTACAAAAAAATAAAAAGCAAAATTATAAAATGAATTATAAATAATGACTTAGGGAGAGTAACAAGTCCAAAGGAATTGTTTTACTGAAATATGCACTTAATCTCCAAACATGGATTGACTAATATAAAATAATGTATAAACCTACCCCCAATGTTGACTTTAACTTTTGAGATGTTTTACATCCATATCTGGATCAGCATATACCAATACAAGAACTTTTTGACGCGCTAAATGGCTATCAGAGTCTACAGAGTACACTAAATCCCCAAGTGTACCGTTATGTATAAAACGATTTATAATCCAACTTAAGCTCCACAATAAATGTAGTCTCAAAATCTTCCTAAACAATATTTCATACAGGGTTGACCAAACAGACTATTGTACAATATGTAATACTCGAAAGACCGAATCTTTAGGACATCTAATCCTGGAATGTCCATTATACAATCCATTGAGAGAGCATATTCTGTCAGATCGTTTGAACCAAATCTGTGTCTTTGCTTGCCTAAATAAAACGAATGAGTTGAATTTATGATACAAACTTTTTAAATACTTTAGGGAATTATTTAAGCTAAGATCTTTCTTAAGGAATGAATAGTTTTTTGTGCCTTCAATATCAAGACAGAATATTTAAATTGATGCGTCAATTATTTATTCTTTTTCTGTTTGTTTATATATTTTTTTATATACAACTTTTGATCATGGTTACTATCATTTTCTTACTGTTTCTTTTTGTATTCATACTCTGGACAGGAAAGTTTCTACTCAATTCTTATTATTTACATAATACTCTCTCTCTCTTGTTTATATACCTTTGTACTAGGTATTATGAAACAATAAACCTGATAATTAAGTTCCAATAATAAAACCTTGTTTACTTCTCTGTGTTTATTCTTTTCACTGCCATGGAAGGTGATACTGGGTGTATCAACCAGAACACCATTACAAAAAAAGCACCTACGCCACTGGTGGAATCAGCTGTGGTCCGCACATACACAGCTTATTGTTTGTATTTGTTTTGAATTGGGTTTGTTTGTCTTCATGCATTACAGTGCCGTAAGAATGGTAAGTCTATTTATATTTTTAGTCTGAGACCAATACCGAATAAAGTCAGTCAAGATTTACACACTTTTCAAATTACTATTGAGCAATAAACAGAACATAAATCACCTTTTAAGTGCAATCTGTATAGCTAATATATTAGGTACCCAGACTTAGATTTGCCACAAGTCACAATACTCGTGTATACGTATAAATCGTAAGAATTGTACTGTAAACAAGTGATGTCAAAGAGCATTTGGAATACCAAAGGATACCAAAAAATCGCAATGCTCAGTTCCTATAGCTATAATTTATAGTTAGTATGTTTCTGTCGCCATGATGTGTCAGAGAGTAACACAATGGTGTTAGATTACAAAAGCAAGTGTCGGACGTCTAGGGGGGGCACGCGCCCCCCTCTAAATCCGCCACTGCAAAGTAGCAAAAAGGTTAAAAATATTTTTTAGAAAATACTCTATGTCTATCTGATAAAAAATTTCAAGTACCTTACTAACCATTATGTTTACGAATATTGGTAGAAGTTGTAGCTGTTGGTTTCCAAAAGCACAAGTCTTTATTCGACGTTTGCAACAAGGTTGTCCAGACCTTCCACTGTTTCCACGGCCTATGAACAAGATAGATATATGCTGCGCACGGAGACTTCCCGGAAAACGATCTCACGAAGGCTATGCAGTATTTTAAGAAAAACAAACAGCACGACACCTGGGATTGATACTGACGCGTGTTATGTCTTCTCTCGTAATAATCTGTTGATCGTTGCATGCAGGTTTATATTACAGACTCTAACGCGGATTTTTCAAAAAGCTTAAACAGGATGTCCCAGAAGTCGACGTCAAGCCGGAAACGGGGGATCGGCCAAGTCATAACAGTTATAAGGAATATTTAAAAAAACTAAATCGTGTAAAAAAATTGTAAAATCGGAAAATCTACACCTTGTGATGATCTTTTAGTTCCCAGTAGTATAAATTTCAATTTTTTCTTAGACAGAGTGACGGACGTGTTATTCTACGTAGTGACAGCAAGACAGATAGAAACTCCACTTTTATTAATTCGTGAATGTATCTTCCCTTATTATCAAATTTAGTTTCTGTTATTCTGCCCCGTAGCTCAGCTAAATTTGCGATTGGCTTTGAGTAAACTTTGTCTTTCATCGCTTCTCAGTAAAAAAAATCCATTTAAGTCAGGTGAACGGGCTGGTCACGAATTGTACCTATCAATCTGCTCTTGTATTACGCATCAAGGTATTCTCTACTTTTGGGCACTCCCGAGCTTACTTCTAATTGATGTACTTAAGAAGTCGGGGCAACTTCGACTGCTTGTAGTACGACGTCATCGCAAGGAAAGGAAATTATTCCTTCACCATGTGCTTGATTTGAGAATCGTCCCTCTGAGAGTACAGTACATTTACAAAAAATCGGTGATCGGGATGACGAGCAACCTTTAGGTACCTTTCACGATAAAGCCTAGCTGCAGCACTGACATTGCATCTACGTTCTCCAAAATAGAGGTACATATTGGCGCATTCCTGTACGGTGTACACAGACATGGTGGCACTACGCAATCATCAATTAATAAAAGTGGCGTTACTATATGTGTTGCTGTCACTACGTAGAATGATATTGTTCATTATTCCGTTTAAGAAAAAGATGAAATTTTTAGTAATGGGAACTAAAAGATTATCACAGGGAATAGAGTTTTCCGATTATTTTAAAACCTATAATTTGAAAAGTACACGACTTGCTTTTTTATATTATTTCCGGTTTGACGTCGACTTCTGGGACACGCTGTATATTGGTTATCTCAAGGCTTTGGTGTATGTGTTATTTACAAAATTTGCTTATTTTTCCGCAAGAACTATACGCTATGTGAAGGAAAGTGCCAACTATAAGAACACCTTGTATGTTTTTACTGCTATTTGACATTTTTTCTCGTTATATTTTGCAGACATATTCAAATCCGTTTCTGAGAAGAATAGAAATGTACGCCCATAATGTACTACAGTATGAAGATAAGAATTTGAGAGGAAGGTGTAGGAAGCTTATACCCGTCACATTGTTAGAATATAATGCTCAGGAACGCTTGAGGTCTATACAGAAGCTCTCGAAAAAAGGTAGAGTTGGCACCCAAAAAGCGACCAGGAACTAGTAGATTGCTTCAGTTTGCCAGCGAGCAACTTTTTAAGATTGACTATACCATTTTTTCACTTTGTATCGTGACAGCTCAGTTTTAATCACTGGTTCTGTGTTTTTGCACGTAGTTGATTGAAAATGACACTTCACGATATCGTGCAAAAACTTCGAGGCGTGTGATTGCTTCCAAGCTTATATAACGAATAATCTAGCTTCTTCTTGTCGGGATGTAACTTTTCTCGCTATTAGATACAGGTATATTTCATACATGTAATAGTTTTGTAAGGCAAAAAAATATAAAGCGATTACACGTATTTTTTTTCAGACAAGTTGCTTGATGTGGATGTTTCTTTACAAGATATGATCATACTAGAACTATTGTCATGGTTTAAGAACTATTTCTTTACATGGGTCGATTGTATGGAGTGTAAGCACTGTGGAGGTGAAACAGCCTTCTCCCATATGAGCACCGATCCAAAGCTTTTGGTTTATACAGAGCGAATCGAGGTTAGTATCGGATATTTAAGTTCTATGATATTCGATAGTTACAGTAAGTACTCTCCAAATTTTCTACTAATTATCTCCTGTTTATTCCAAGAGACACGGATGCTCCGACTTAAGTATTTCATCCAATCATAGACGACTATTGGACTATAAGAGTACAGTGAGTCCAATGTCGGTGATGATAATAGTACTAGTGACACGTCATCATAACTGTAGATCCCTTTCCGCGGGAAAATTTAAACTGTTAACTTGAAACAGCACCTTCTTCAAATAAACCGTTTTGATATTGTTAAAATATTTTAAAATGAAAGCAAAATTATCACCTATTCTCTATTCTGGCTTTAAAGTGACACTATCGAGTGTAACTGACTTTCACTCAAAAAGTCCAGAGTGTTTAGATTCGCGCTATTTTGATTATAACAACATAAACTGCTTTCTAATGGTTTTTGGTTTGAGGGTGGTATGCTCCCGAACTACTCTAGAAATAATGCATGGGAGAACATGCAGTGGAACAGTACTGGTGCTCCTAGTAACTCAACTGGGTCACTGGAAAGCAGCTATTGATAATTTATTTCCATATTGTAGCTGCACAGATGCAGGAGTTGCCACGAATTTACTCCCTTTCCACGTTACACTGATTTAAACATATTGTTGGAAACTAGAAGAGGACGGTGTGGTGAATGGGCAAATACATTCACGCTATGTTGCCGAGCTATGAATTGGGACGCTAGGTTTGTTGTTGAGGAGAACGATCATGTTTGGACGGAAGTGAGTATTCAGTGTGTATTATAACAAAGAGGTACTAATTTACAAAACATTTTGAAAAAATAAGTAAAAAGCTTTGGTTGAATGAAAATAATATAATAATGTACAGATATACGTGCCTAAAATATGTCTGATTACTCTCGCAATATGTTAAATTATCGATTAACTACAAAACCGACAACGAGATAATCGTGACCAAAAGAATGCTACACATCGTTTGATATTGGAGGCAGGGTCCGGGGTGACAGCTCCTCGAACCCCGCGCTTGCCACACAGTCACAAACCAGTGACAGGTCGACTAGCCTGTCACAACATCTCCTCGATTCCTTCCTCGACCCATTAGTTCAGTGACAACGTTCTTATTAGTTGCATCACGCGCGCATTAGTTGTGAATATTGTGGCTTTGATGTTTCTAAGCCCTAAGCGGACTGTGGTTGTACTGCCGTCCTGTGGAATTTTATGTTGATTATATTTCAGTGTACGTATATGACACAGATTTAAATCATGTCTAGAGAAAGAGACAAATTTAGGAAATTTGAGAGTGGTTATGAAAAACAGAAAAATGGACAAACGTGAACATTTAAGAATACCAAGCAAATAATAGTATGTGCAAATGATATGAATATTTTGTAATAATATGTGCTTATTTATGATTGATTATTCACACATACAAAAAATATTTCTTTTATGAAGCCATTTATTTCCTGGCAGACCTAAATTTTATTATCATTTTCCTAACGGTTCATTGCTTAAAAAATTAAAGTGAAAGAGTTTAGACCACAGTTATAAATCATATTTCTTTCTTATCTCAATTCTTTACACAGAATGAAATATTGTATACTTACATCAAAAATGAAAATAGACCCAACCCTGGCAAATAATTGGCGAGTTTTGACATGAAATGACTTCATCAAAAATGCTAAAAACACTTTTTATTCAACAGATGAGTTGAATCGACACTAAAGTAGTTATTTCATTTATACGGTGCTTTTCAAAAAGGGCGCCCCTCTACTTATTTTTTGAACGGCTTAATTTAGCATTCTAAAATTCGGGGTAATGAAATTAATACGTGAATACTGTATTTTAGCCTAAAAGTGGCAGTTGACAATGTAAAGATCGCGGTTGGGCTCCATTTTTGGAGCATTTTTTTTGAATGGAATATGGGTATGACACCTCATTTTGAATCTCCCTATATTAGGGCTATAAAGTACTCATCGCCATCTTGGAAATTTCAACTGGTATTTTTATATTAAAATATTGTATTTATATGTAAATTTCATGGTCCCGAATGTTCAGCTTGCTAACGTGAGCAGTTCAAAAATAGGTAGAGGGACCTTTCCGAAAATCATATTGGTTATGTTCAGTTGCATCTAGCTGCTACGAGCTAGCGCTGCATCTTATTTTGTGGAGTACTATATTAGCTAATTAGACAAAGAAGTATGTACTAGGGATGTTACGTAACATATATCCGCAGCTGCGGAACATCCGTATCAATTTAAACATCTTCATCCGAATTCATCAATGCGGATGCAGGTCTTGTGCAGGTCATGATGTTGTAGTGCCATCGCTCGACACACTCGCATGGTAATTGATAATGCAAAGGATTGACACTTTTTAGATGCATTTACAAATTGTCCATTGATCAGAAATAAACTGTTCTTCTAAGGATGTTACGTACAACTATAGCATGTCGTAATACCTTTTTCCACATCGTGTCCTTAGACTGTGAACATTCGACATCTTTGTTAGGTCTGTGTCAAAGCAACCAAATGGCGTATGGGCACGTCCTATTCGTTTCCAATATGGAAATAATTTCCTATCTCTTTAGAGAAAAATTTTGAGATTCGTAGAGTATGCGCTGATAAACTTTTGGTATGCCAGATATTATGATTATCACACAGTGCTATTTAAAATACCGGCCCAGCGAGATAATGCAAGGGAAATGATGGAGGCGGAAATAGCGATATTTTCAGACAGTGTCTCCCAGATTCGCTTCTCTGTTCAGGGATCTCGGCTCCTGTTATACCTACAGCAAAGGTTAAATGGGGAACAGCTTTAGAGGAAACTTGGTGCTTTCGATAGCCGGCTTCAGATTTACGATCGGTCAATTGGTTTTTTTGCCAGTGAATCCAAAACGGTTGATTTGACAGCTGTCAAAATCTGACATTATTCGGGCATTTTTTAAGAAATATAAAAATATAACAATATAATAAAATATGTATGACATCGTCTTTTGTTTTCCAGCAACCCGGCTGACCTTTCATTTTTCTTACGACCGCCATATTGGATTTTTTGATTTTTGAAAACAGTTTAAAATTTCCAGTCTAGTGATGTCTCACAAGTGCATAAAAGATTGGTGTATCACCGAAATATCATCATACGAAATGTTATGTATTAGTTTTTTTCTAAGGAGGCCATGATTTATTTGTCAGAAGATAACATTAATGAGTAAGGCATGAAAAACACATAAACGCCTTGAATTGTCAATAGAATATTAACGTTGATATCGACTTGCCAACAAGTCAAATGTTTTGGGACAAATTCCCAACTATGAGTGTGTTAAAAAACAAGTTAGATGAATCGTCGTAAATTCATTTTACACTTAAACAAACATTTTACAAAATTGTAATTGTAATAAATGTAAAATCGAATTATGTTACTGGGTATTAATTTTGAGATTTGCAAAATAACGTCCATTTGCATCCAGACATTTTTTACAATTGGTTTTTCGTACAACCCTAAGGTTGTACACAAGCTAACTAGTGTACGAGCCCCTTCCCACTTCAGTTGGCCCACTTCAAGATTTATACCAAAATATACCTTTATAAACTAAACATGACGAAACTATTTACTTCTAATACAATTTATTTTCTCAAAAACATTTTAGATACACTCTAGTCGTAAAAAATACATATTTGAAATCACTTAGACCTATAACTAATAGAACATCTGAACAAATAAACAATGTGCGAATAAATACGCAAAGTTAACAAAGCAACAATTGAAAGATTACCATTGGGTAACATCAGCTTTATTTTTTATTACCGCTAAAATTCTTTGGGGCATAGTGTTAAACAAGTTTTGGCAAACATTTGGTGTAAAACAATCCCATATTTCTTGAAGCTTTTGTCTCAGTTCGGGGATTGTACGAGCAGGATGTTGTAGAACCTTTTTCATCTCGTGCCACAAAGTTTCAATAGGTGACATATCTGGACTGCTAGAAACCCATTTCAAAAGTGGTACATTACTTACTTCCATCCATTTTATAGCCTTTTTTGAGGTATGGCACGCAACACCATCTTGCTGAAACACAAAATCTTGGCCGGATGTCAAACATTCTTCCATCACTGGTAAAAGAGATTCTTCTAAAATTGCCAAATATTTGTTTGTATCCACATTTACATCAATAAAATGAAGTTTTCCTACTCCTTTTGATGACATACTGCCCCAGACCATAATGGATGCTGGAAATTTCACTTTTCTCTTCAGACAGTCAACATGGAATGCTTCATTTTTTTGCGAATAACTCTACTGCGACTGTCACCAACACAAACTTCGAATCGGGCCTCATCACTCCATTGTATTGCACACCATTGTTGAGGTGTCCATTGTCTATGTTCTTTAGCCCATCTAAGCCGATTTTTCTTTTGCAGTGGAGTTAATAGTGGCTTTTCTTTGGCCTATAAACAAGTTGTGCAACTTAGGGTTTTTACTTCACTTTCTTTATAAGAAAACTTACCTTGCAAGTGCTAAATCTCAGTTTGTGGGCCTCTCTATGAGTTGTGGACCTCGAAATTCTCCTTCCAAAAGGCACTTAATTGTAAATAATTGGCACGCCTGTTTTAAACGATTATTCTTCTTAATGCTCTTCATTCGGCATTTGTGATATTACTTTTTTTCACATATCTTGGCTTAATATTAACTTAACCAGTTACGTTATATCTTCTAACAATATTTCTCACACTGTAGCGCGATAAGTCTAACAAAGTTGCAACTTCTGAGTTTGATTTCCGAGAATAAAAAAATTTAATTATCAGTAACCGAATTTTCTCACTAATAACCTTTCCTCTACCAATTTTGAAAACCTCAACTACCCAAAACTATTTTAAACGTATTCTGACAGCTGTGATTAATAAAAACAATTGTCATGGCTTTTATTTTTCACAGCCACCTATGCGTTATAGACTTATACTAAATGAGATATATATCCGAACTCCCAGTTTAAATGGTTTTATTTTAATAAAATTTTGTATAAGTTAATGAATCATAATAAGTAAATGATGAAAATTTCAAAATGATTGCACTGCTTTAAAGCCCTTTGACCTTTAATAATGTGTGGATGCACCCTGATGTGCTACGCATTCTCCAACGAGCCTAGGCATGCTTCTGATCAGGTGGTCAATGTCCTCCTGTGGTATCTCATTCCAGGCAACCACCAACTCCTCTCGAAGTGCTTCTAGAGTCTGAGGAGGACTTTACAAATTGAGCAATCTCCTACCCATCATATCCCACACGTGCTCAATTGGGGATAAGTCGGGAGATCGTGGTGGCCATGGTAACAATGTGACATCATTATGTGGTCGGGCATTATCTTGTTGGAAAGTTGGATCTGCCAGGGTGTCAAGATAGGGTAAAAGATGGGGTTCTAGAACTTCGTGGATATAACGCTGCATGTTCATGTTACCTCTGATGAAGATTAAAGGTGACCTGGAACCATAAGCTATAGCACCCCAAACCATAACTCCAGCAGTGTGATGAACATGTCTTTCAACAAAAAACTGTGGATTCCTCCTTTCACCACGTCGCCTTCTAACCCTGGCACGACCATCGTGCATGCCTAAACAAAATCGAGACCCGTCACTAAAGACAATACTGTTCCATTCCTGACCGTTGTCTGCACCACTCAAGGCGATTACGTCGGTGTTCTCGAGTTAAAGGGAGGACCCAGTGTGGCCGGTATGAAAACAAGCCAAAACTTCTCATTCGTCGGTAAACACTTCGCATGCCAATAGGTCTTCCGTGTTCTGCAAACCATTCATTTGCAATGGACCTGGTAGTGGAGAAACGGTCCCTTAAGGCCAATAATCTTAGGCGGCGATCTTCACGGTCTGTTGTTCTACGGCGACGTCCAGTGCCCCTTGCTCTTTGCGTACGGCCTTCTCAAACCCATGCCTGACAACACCTAACCACAGTGTCTACACTTCTTTGCACTCTAACTGCAATTGCCCAAAAAGAAAGTCCAGCTCCCCGAAGTCCCTATATACGGCCCCTATCAAACTCACTAAGTCTCCGTACTCTAGGCATCGTAACCGATCGTAAAGGATGTCAAGGACCAAAATCTGCCAACGTTGATTCTTTACTGCGGCTGAAATATTCATTTTTAGAGCGTTAGTGAATTAAACAAAAGCAGTATAAAAACCGGAATGTCCAACTGATAAGGCTGAAAATTTTTACACTTGTTATTTACAGTAAGATAAATACATTCACCAACTTTTATTAAAATAAAACCATTTAAACTGGGTGTTCGGATTTATATGTCACTTAGTATATTTTGCATTGAAATGAAAATAGGTTGATATGCTGAAATTGCAACATGTGTTATTTTTATGCTGAAAATTTGATTAGGGAGTGATAAAGTTGGTGTTTTCTACTATATATTATCAAAATATTCATTGTTAATATTTTAAACCTATAACACCCTGCTACATTTTATTATTTGTGTTGGATAAGAAAAAAACTAAGATTTCAATTGTTGGGCCAACTGAAGTGGGAAGGGGCTCGTATTTCTGTTAATGTTTCTAACTATGCTCAAAATTCTTTGTCTCAGGATTTCTGTGATCGCGGAAGGATCAAATTCATAGACCTTAATCTTAGTGTTACCCCAGAGGTAGAAATCTAAGGGTGAAAGGTCAGGGGATCTAGGAGGCCAAGATATTGAACCATTTAATGGTTCATCAAACTGCTCTATTAAGAAGTTCCTGACTTGAATGGTGGTGTGAGCAGGACATCCATTCTGTTGAAACCAGGTTCTTCTAAACTCATCTTCGGTTGGACGTAAAGCCGGCACAACCTGGTTTCGCAAAAGCTCTAGGTACCTCTGTCCGTTTAGGTTGTAGTCCAACAAAAAGGTCCTATAAGTCGATTTCCTGAAATGATCAATACCTAAATTCAAATAGGTGTCCAATTGAAAAAAAGCAAGTTAGATTAAATTACTAATGATCCCACACTAAACCTTAGTTCCAAATCTGGTATGTAGACGTCTCTCTGCCACTTCGTGAGGGCTTTCCACAGCCTAATGATGAGTGTTGTGCTTATTAAAAACTCCATAATTCGTAAACCTACCCTCATCGGACCACAAGACATGATTTACAAAATTGGGATTTTCATTAGACTTCCTAGTATACCACTGACAGAACCGCATTCGCCTTGGAAAATCAGTTTCCTTAAGTCCTTGAACTATTGTAGGTTTGTATGGATGGTACTTTCTCATTTTCAATATTGTATCCGCTTCTGGCTGTTCGAAGGCCCTGTGGTTTATTAAATTATTTACTATTTTACGAAATTGAGTTTTATGAGGCTGCCGTCGTTCGGGGTACATCTCCAAGTACCTTGCTGAGGTAATGTCGGCGTTTCTGTGTGACTGCAGGTACAGCACTAACCTGTCAAACTTTTCTTCATTTGAGTAGGGAATACCGGCCATTTGCAACAGTTTTTGTCAGATTTATGATTTTAATGAGACAAAACGTACCTACTACTTATTAAAACACAATTCTAATACTTTGAATTATTTAACGTCAGAGCCTCCTTAGATGAAAAAAAACTGCGTTACTTGTTAATTTCATTTTTTTACAAATAAATCATGGCCTCCTTAGAAAAAAAGTAATACATAACATTGCATGTGATGATATTTCGATGATGTGTCCAATCTCTTATGCACTTGTGAGACATCACAAGGCTGGAAATTTTACACTCTTCTCAAAAATCGAAGAATCTAATATGGCGACCATAAGAAAAATGAAAGTTGAGGCAGGTTACGGGAAAATAAAAGACGACTGAGATAATGTTACATTTTGACAGCTGTCAGATCAATCGTTTCGGATTTACTGGCAAAAAACAAAATTCGACATTTTCGGTTTTTCGCCGATATTTCCAAAACCAATTGACCGATCGTAAATCTGAATCCGGCTATCGAATGCACCAAGTTTCCTCTAAACTTTCCCCATTTACCGTTTGCTGTAGGTAAACGGTAGCCGAGATCCCTGTATAGAGAAGCGAATCTTGGACACACTGTATAGTTTTTAGGATGTAATTAAGAATATAATGATTGGAAATATTAATAAACGCATGAAAAGCATTCTCTAGGTGATTATGTATAATCATGAACTGTGCTTTCAAGCTGTCCCGTGTGAAAACGGTACCTGAATGGTTAATGTCGATCGAAGGGCTGTCAGTGGGTGGTATTAAACAGCAAATATTGCAGGTTTACTCGATTACACAAAAACGTTGGCTGCACTGTGATCCATGTGAAAATATCTGTGATACACCTTTAATATATGAAACGGGTTGGAATAAGAACATATCATATGTGATTGCATACTCTGCTGAGGAAGTACAAGACGTTACTTGGCGATATTCTAGTAACCATAAAGAAGTTTTAAAGCGAAGGAAGAATTGTTTAGAAGCTGAACTGTTAGATGCCTTATTAGAAATTAGGGATAAAAAGCAAAAAGAATTATCTGAATCGAGGAAGGAATATTTAACCAAGAGAATGCTGATGGAGGTTGTGGAATTTTTAGTTGAGAAGTGAGTTGTCAATTATATATATATTATCTTAAACCTTATATACCCGTAGGCGTAGGTCAATTTTATATATGAAATTTATAATACAAAATAGTTAATTATGTACCCTTCAAGTTGCTGTTAACGTTTTATTCTGTGGTTAAGGTAGGAAACCTTTAGAATTGCGAAAACCAACGATTTTAAACGTTTTTTTTGATGTCATATGCAGAAGTTTCAAATTATCTTGAAGAGCGGTAATGCCAAAACACGGGAATTTTGGTATTAATAGTTGATGTTTCATTATCTATTTGCAGAGACACAAATCCGAAATCTCTGACTCTCCGCTGACGATACTTTATTGTACTCTACGAACTAAGCTACTACTTAATTCTTTTTCGTTGACCTGTCGATATTTTTGTGGTCTCATAATCCCGATCCAGAAGCCAACATCCAATTATCTTTGGAATAGAGTTAATCTACTTGACATTCTTTATATAGACTCAACCTATGACTAGTTTGCCGAACGTGGGACCACCGAACCCTACGTACGGCAGCAGGAAATGACAGATTTGATAAAGTCGTCCATCACATAGGCCTCCCAACGTCACTCAAGGGGTATACTACGTACTTACCATGCTATAAGCATTGAAGTACTATGGAAAGTTGCATGAACTAAACAGACTAAATAGGATTGTTTGCTTTCATATATTATTATTATTACTTATATCTTTCGCACATTTTTTATGTACTATCTTGGTATCAAGCTAGACAGCAATAGGCATTTTCAAAAATCTCCTCTCTCTTACTGGTCTATCACGTGACGGGTTTGTGCCACTCGTTTCACGATCACGATGGTTAACGAATGCGAAAGTTCCTACCTAAAGGGGCGTTGACATTATGCTTATTGACTGGTACCAGCTGGTCCATGACAATCGACAAGTACAATGTAAACACTGGATAGCGCCAGTCTCGTGCTTATTTTACTAGCGCTAGCAAAGTTAAAATCATTTGTACTTTTGTGTACCAGTTAAAGAAAGAAACGTTAAAATTTGTGAGTTTATATAAAGAATGTGAAATACTGTGGAATGTTCACGATGCAAATTATAAAAACAGAGAAAAGCGAAACAAAGCATTTGAATACATATAGCAGGAAATGAACATGAAAAACTTGACCACCCTGGATATGATAAAGAAGAAAATAAAAGCGATCAGAGATACCTATCACTTGGAGAAAAATAAAATAACAAAGTATAACAAATCTGGGGCATCACCAGATGACTTATACACGCCAAAACTTGTTTGGTTTAATGAAGCCGCTACATTCCTTGAGTACTGCGCTGGTAGAGAACCTTCTAGTAGTCTGGTAAGGATTTCAGCAAAATTATTTGGGTAATGATCAATTACATACTCTTCAAAACAAATACTCATTTGATTTTTTATTCTTTATAGTAAATTAATATACCTAATAATACTTTCTTACAGGATAAATCACAAATGACCTCAGTTGAGTCTTCCGAAGATATAGATGGTGGCGAACTTGAGGGAATTTCATCAAAAACATTCGTACCAGCAAAATCCAGTAGTGAGGGAAGAAGCATACCAAGTGTTAAAAGGAAGAAACAAAAAGATGTTCCAGATCATATTTCAAGCGCAATGGAAAAACTGGAGGATCTCAAAAAGGGTGTACGGGAAAAAGATGAATTTGACTATTTTGGCATGAATATAGCACACCAATTAAGAAATTTGTCTATTCAACGAGCTCTAAAATGCCAGACAGAATTCCAGAAAATATTAATGAGAGAGCGACTCGAGTATGAAAGGGAAAAATCTTCGTCTTCGCGGTCTTCACAATCCACCTGTTTTAGTCCAGTTGAAAGGGCTTTACAATCGTCGATAAATGCAGAACAAATTCAACAAGATGGCTACAGCAACAGCTCACTAAGGTGTTACAATTCACCACAACAATCAGATTATAATGATTTGGAAGGAGATAGCGAAAATACTGATATTTTGTCTGCAGCAATTGGCGATTTGTTTAAAAAGGCAGAGTTCTAAATTGATATAACGAATCTTTGACTAACATTTTCCTCTGCATATTAGACAAACAAAGGAAAACGGTTTTGTTCATTTTTATTTGTTGTTATTTATTGTAAGTACTAAGTAATACATAATTATGTTTTCAAAATATGTATGAACACTAATTCAATAAACTTTTGATTACCTCATTGAATAGCTTTATTATTTCAAGATTATTATGTTTATGTACAACTTTGTCCTGTCGGAAATTTTACATCACTAATCACAATAATTTTACACTGTTTCTTAAATCATATTCCATTGCCAGTCAACAGCCCCATCATTCATAAAATATTCCGCATAGTTGTCTCGTCGGGTAGCTGCTCCTTTAGAATAACTGTGGGAGCCCCAAGAATGACCTGGCTGAAGCACTTGATTATTTGCTACGTCTTTCCTCCATGATCCAGGTATTATATTACCAGTATCAATATCTTCGTAATCGGTTGTTCCTGGAGGTATGTAAGTATTTGCTGATGTTCTTCGTAACCAGTTATGTAAAGCACATGTTGTTCTTACTATATAATCTACCTTATCCGGGGATACTTCTATACCACGTAAAAATATTCTAAATCTAGATACAAGAATCCCAAAAGCATTTTCGGATATTCGTCGAGCTCTCGAAAGACGATAGTTAAATATTTTTTCTTTTTGGGTCATTTCATTCCTTGAATACGGCTTTATTAAGTAGGTTTTCAGAGGGAACGCTTCATCTCCGACAAGAACTCCCCAATCTGGGAAACGCAATGTATTACTTTCCAGTGCGGTTTTCAAACGTGATGCCCCGAAAATGCTAGCATCATTCATTCTTCCGTTGGAACCGACATCGATGTATAAGAATTCATAATTACTATCAACCATAGCAAACAGAACTGTACTAAAGTACCCCTTATAATTATAAAAATAGCTTCCACTATTTGCAGGGCAGTTTATACGTATATGTTTTCCATCTATTGCCCCGCAACATCCTGGAAAGTTGCACCTTGAATAAAATCTATCAGCAATTACTTTCCATTTTTCTTCAGAGTCCGCAATCTTTATGTACTCTTGTAGCACAGCATATATTGCGTTAAGAATGTCTACTAGAAATTTTGAAATTGTACTTTTTGGAACCCTGTACATATGTTCTAGTGTGCTAAAAGAGTCTCCAGATGCTACGTAGCGTAATGTAATTTGAAGTTTCAGTTCCGGAGTCAACGCTTCCCTGAACGAAGTATCTTGTTTTCGTATAATCGGAGTGACGCATTGTAATAAAAATGAAAATTGATCTGGAGTCAGCCGTAAATGATTCGTGAATGTTTGGGGGTCAGAAAATTTTACTTCCTTTAATAGGTTTTCACTGACACCAAAACGTTTTCGTTGTACAATCCATTCCCGCGTCCACCACCTTCTTTGTCGACGATTTCTTTTATGTACTATACTTCTTAATGCCCCTTGTAACATTGTAGCCACTATTTCAATGCCTTTTGCTAATACTTCACTCATTTTCACGAATTGACAGCCATGCCAAACCATCAAAATAAAATGTAATTATTTTACTAGCACATACTAGTATGAAAACAGGACAAGCAGTACCAGCGAACTAGCGCTAGTTTGATAGTACCAGCCAACAAGCATAATGTCAACGCCCCTTAAGCCAATACTACTACTGTTCTCGCCTAGAATTTGTTTTGATTCTGTTCGCCCTCAAACAGTGCTAGAATATTGACAAAACATTACGACAAATGTTTTATCAACAACGACTATAACCACAAGAACAATACACCTGTCTTCAAATTATACATTTCACCCTTCACATGAGATATGTTATTCGAATCAGAGATCCAAAGTTTGAGAACATAGATTGGTTAATAACTTAAGGTTTACAAAATAATCGATGACCAATTCGTGTAAGTTGCCTAATGCATGCAATTTGTGACATTCTAGGAAACCAAATGATGTTGATAATAAGGGCAGAATATCGGGATCTGCGGCTTGGAAACTGACAAGAGGTGAAATTCAGAGCGAGGTGAAATCTCACATTTGGTCCATACATTCCAATTATATAGGCGATAGTAAAACAGTTACTATAAAGTATTGTTGTTCACAAGATAAATATGAATGCAGTGCTGATAGTATATCAATCAATGGAATGGATTGGTCTTCGGGAGCATTTAGTCACGAGTCAGTATTCAGAAAAGTAGAAGAGGATTGGAAAATGGCATACATTTGTAGGAAAGGTACAGTTTCATATGATTGTACCAGCACATTTTGTCTCAGGAAAATAAAAAAAAACTGATTATGATTTGTGAATACGTTAATTGTTTCTTGTTTCTATGAGAATATACGTGACAAAGAAGCTTGATAATTATATAAAATGGATCACAGGAGTACAAATTTAACTTCTTTTAGAAGCTATGAAGGATGATCCGTAATGAATGCACCAAAAAGCATTCCCGGATTAAACTCGTAGAAATAATATTGAGTTAATATGCCTTGGTAAAATATCTCTCGTTTCGATTTTCAAATATCGTTTTCCCCTATGGCTGAAGCTGTTTTTGAGATAACAACATGATTATTGGGAATCAGGCAGCAGCGGTGACGTAGTGGTTTTCGAATCCCGTCCCAAGCTAAATTTTTGTCTTGGCTATGGGTGTTTGATTGTACGAAGGTGATAGACGGTCTCTAACTGTCAACGTGGAGGATCTCTAAGGTGGGACCAGAATGTGTGCATGTTGCATACACACGTGTTCCCTCGCTTGAGTCCGTATGGCGTCCCCCCTTTTCTCTGTATCTCTCCATACCCCCACGGTACCCACCTTCGTGGTGGTTCGGGTTTATAAAAATTAGCCAATTCTGTGAAAATATAGTATGTAGGGGGCGCCGGCTACAGGCTATAATCTTGCTATTTTATGCCATAACTTTTTCGCTAGCATTGTCCCAATTTATTGAAAGATTTGTGATAAGTGACTTTTAAGAGAAAGAATACATTTATTTCGATTAAATACACCCCTTTGCCTGGGGTATAGTCAAAAAATATCCATGACTACCTTCATTCCTCATCCACAACATAATCCCCTATTTAATGGTTTTGAGTCGGCCATTTGGCTATACGCGAGTGTTTAATTAAAAATCATCAATCTATGGAAATTCCTAATGAAAAATAAACTATAACCATATTTCTCATCTAAGGCGCCGATTCGTAATTTTCATGTTCAAATCACAAAATAGCTTGGATTTTGGAGAAAAAAAAATCGATTTTGGAAATCAAAATTCAACACACTGTATCTCATTAAAGAGCACCATTTCACTGAAGCATATTCGGCACGACAACATTCTATAGGTTTAATCTAGGATTTTTTTAGCGCATTTATTAGGGAGTACTCTGTATATTTATATTTTTATTCAGCTCGCCTCTTGTTAAACGGCATAATTTTCGCTTTTTCAGATGGAGAAGAAAAGGGAACTTTAACCTGGAAATTAGATGTAGGCAGCAATCAAAGGGGATTAAAAAGCCTGGATGTGTTTTTCGATTATACTACTTTCGAAAATGGAGCAGTAGATGTAACCATCTGTTCAGAGCATGCGTGCTATATTTTACCAAAGGGTAAATTTTTGTTCTGCTTTCTGATTTTACGTCTGTAAAGTAAAGTAAAGTTTTCCAATTTTAGGAGAAAAGCAAATCTCTTTATCAGAGATGCAAGCTGCAAGAGAGATAACCATAACTGCAGTATTGAAGGGAGGTAAAGGAGACTGTGCGTGGCAGCACGCACAGCTGTTTAGACAACATTTGGACTCGTCGGAGTATCCATTTTCTATAACTTTAACTTTTGAATAATTAATAGATAAGAGATGAAAAATAGATGATTCTACATGAATGTATTCGTTGAGTTTTTACAAAATTTACATCTTGTACATTCAGATTTTAAACTGGAAATGTTTTTTTGGGTGGGGTTTTTAGGTGTAATTTTATTATGCTTTATACCATTGGATAATAAAGAGCAATGGTTTGAATCATCCATTACTTTTTATTTATTTTACAGAAGTATTTTTAATTTTTTTATCGACTAGGTATTGATGTGGGCGGTCAAAAATACTTACAAGGTATTGCAAAAAATATATCTAAATGTGACGTATGGTAGGGCGCTTTCTTTTAATCAGCGATTGCATCGAAGCCCATCGAAAATGTTTCTTATTGATTGATGAATTCTACTAGGGCCTTCTTTCATTCCTGATGGAGCAATTGCCAGAACTCTGACAGATGTCAATTGGCACCGAGGCACTATATAATTTTTTTAATAAGATGGCGATACGATTTTGACGACAGTGTTGCAAGGTTGCCCGTCATTAGAAATGCAAATTTTATAACAAAGTTATTGCTGGAAGGTGTCTTAAGTATGTACAATGACCGGTTGAAGCGCTAGTATACACGTGTTGACAATCATAACCTCTAAATATCTCGGTGTCAATATACTGGGATACTGGGTTGTCAAATGCCCCATTTGTAGTCCATTTACGTCCAGTCAAAACACAACATGCCCAAAAGCAAGATTGTACAGGTTCATATTTCCCTCAATGGTCTTGGAATAATCTAACAAAATAAATGATTATCTTTATGAAAGACGTGCACATACTTTTCACAATTCCTTATTCGCTGGAAGTACTTGAATCATCGTGCGAATGGTTAATATTAATTATTACAGATTCAATTTGAATATCGGTCATATTGTCCAGATCCCACATCTTTGTTTCGATTGTCTCTTGAACGTGACGGATGCAATCTTTTCAGTGGTTTGCCGTCACTCTGTTGAAAGCTTCATGAAACAAATTTTTCACGTCAGAAAATTTGATTGTTCTATTGTTTGAAGCCACATACCTTTTTATATTTGTCCAAATCATTTCAATTGGATTTAATTTGCAGTGATAAAAGGGTAGTCTTAAAACGGTCTTATTTTGGTTTTTAGCCATTTCGTCAATAACATTAAGATTATATGAATATGTGTGCTGCCAGACTAGATAAATAAGTTTTGCTTTGACCATATTTTCACTGAAACTAATGTCTTTTGATATTCGAATTTCTGCCTTTCTTGTGGACATTGTGGGAATTTTTTCTAGTGTGGTATGCAGCATTATCAAGTACAATGACGGAATTGTCGTCAAGCTTTCCGAGCGTTCCTTCAAACCATCGTTCAAATGAACTCCCGTCCATTTATTCATGGTAGTCGGTCGTTTTCTTTGACTGAAATGCCAATAGGGGGAATCGTTTTCCTTTTCCTGGAAATAATTATTTCATATAATATTCAAGAAAACTAATAATAATACAAGCAGAGTATCTAACAGGTGTTGATTGCAAATCTGCCAGATACAGCTAAGTTTAGTGTAGCTAAGTTTTCAGCGTGGGCTCATAGATTCAGTCTACTCGACACCATTTTTACAACACAAATGGCGAATGGGTTAGTTACACGTACCTGACGGATTCTTTACGCCAGTTATTAGTCCATCTAAGAAGGCTTGTCTTGCTCATTTAATTGTAGAGTCAGCCCATACTTTTGTATGTCCTGCATTTATCCTGGTTTCAACCAAGTAATATTTCTTGCCCTGGTCGCGGTATTTCTTTATTGATTTTAAATAATTTCTTCTCCATAAAATAATCTCTTGGCTGTTATCTACACTCAAAATGAAGTTCTTTGAGTAAACTGCAGAATGTGGTCCTTTTGAAAGTAGTTAAGTCTTCATCACTATTAACCTCCTATAATACTTTGTCTATGGTGGGAAGTTCCTGCCTTTCAAAAAATTGATGGACGTTGCGTCTGATGGCTTTCCGATCAAAGTTATCAACTGTATCCAACACCTTCGTGTAATGCAGCCTCTTGTGTGGTGGAGACAATTTGTTTTTTTTTTATTCTTTAGCAATGTTGAAAATTGACTTAGGACATCAGCAACACGTCTTTCAATATCATGAATTTTCATTTCAGGGAGCTCTAAAAATTTCGCTCTTATGAACGTTAAGGACAATTTTTTTTGCCTGAATATTCAAATGTCCCTTCCTGTCATGTTTTCGGGTAGGAGACATCACAGAAAAGGAAGCATGGCTGAAAGAAGCATTGGGAGAAATATTGTTTCATCTGCTGTATCCGTAGATGACATGCTAACGTATAAACACACGCTATGAATGCACCGAATATGAACAGCAACTGCCGGCATGCCTGCGATACCAAGAACCTGAGTTCTATCATTTCAAATCCTGCACTTGTTCGTAGTTTTATGGCCGAATGACCAATATGTATTGCAACGCTTAGCGGCTGACGCTCTGCATCTTTTTTATTCCAGGGCGTAAATGGAATACGACTAGGGTATAGTCACGGGAAGGAAAGTAGTGCTTGTCCAGGGGGGGGGGTCATGGGAGCTATGACTCTCCCCGTAGGGTGAACCGAGATTTACCAGCGGCCGCCCCCCGCTTTTCAATTATTATCACAAAAGCAGCCGAGCGCCACCCCCCTCACGCTCTTCAATGTTCAATCAATCGCAATAGAACCCCCTCCCCCGAGGCGAACATCTTCGTGAACATGAATCTTGCGACCACCCCATCTTTAGCCAGCTTCTAAAATCCGCCACTGTGGCTATGTGACCCCTCTAGCTCAAAGGCTGTGGTCCCCTTTAATGTAGGTCTAACCGTTAGATTGGCTTGTTTATTTTGGTATTATGTATCCCATTTTTGACAGGTTGCCAGTTATATTTTACCTCATTTCTGTACCTTATTAGCTCTCCAAGCGGCTCTTATATAACACCAATTTGCATTCAGCATCGTGTAAGTCACTTGGCGAATGCTACACGCTCAATAATTATCGCGATACTTGGATCACGATCCAATATCGTGATATCTATTGATTGTGTAGAGTGATATATTGATGGATCACGATCCGTATCGTAGGATTTCTAGAAATCTTGAAATCCGTGGTCAATCCATGGATCACGCGATATATATTGAACGTTTAGTTTCACCGTAATATATATCACGTCAGTACGCGTTCTAGTTTAGCCAAGAGCATGATGTCTGATGACGAAACCACGTGTGTGGAGCCTTCGGAGGGGACGGCGTCATCTCTTACAACGGAACAACAACATTTAAAATCATTTATACTGAATTTGGAAAGTTTGCCTGAAATATGGGACTCTTCAAGAAATGATTATCTAAATAAATTGAAAAGAACTCACGCTTACGAAAAATTGGTGCTGATCTACAAAAAAATTAAGCCGAATGCAGCAGTTGACGACGTAAGGAAAAAATAAACTCCCTAAGATCAAATTACAGGAAAGAACTCACAAAACTTTTGGAGTCGAAACGTTCGGGAGCTGGCACGGATCAAATATACACCCCAAAATCTTGGGTTTTTCATATGCTGAAATTCTTGAAAAAGACTGAACAACCTGTTGGCCTGGTAAGTGAACTTTTATGTTTTAGTTTTTGTAAAGATCTGAATTTGTTCAATATTGGCAGTACGATTAATTTGGCTAGGGGGTACTTATGAATTCACTTCATTAAGTGGGGAGTGGGGTTCAAACTATTAAAAGCTATACCAGCAAATTAATTAAAGATGCAGAATATACTTCGTTTTCAAGGTTATCGGAATCATTCTAGTTCCATTTGTGGATCTTTTTTAGCAAGTAATTGTGCAGGTAGCAGCATGCAGCTGTCACTTTTGTAGCTTTCTCTGGGCAGAGACTAATAGCTTTATGAAAAACTCCAAACTTGGTAACAAGGATTCCAAAAGCACATTCAACCACACACCTAGCTTTTGACAATCGTTGGTTATATATCTGTTCTTCCTTTGTCGCTGTTTTTTGTGGATATGGTTTACATTAAATTAGGACCTAACGCGAAGGCTTCGTCCCCTACAAAGACGTATGGATATGCCTCTAATGTATTAGGTAGTGGAGACGGTTCTGGCAAATTTAAACGACCTTGTTGTAACAGTTCCCAGAATTTTGTGTAAAAAATGACACCATAATCTGATACTCGGCCATTGCATCCAATATCAACCATAATAAACTCTTTCTTGACATTTGCAATAGCCATAAGGACAGTACTATAGGTTCCTTTGTAATTATAATATAGGGCTCCTGAACCATGTGGATGATTTATTTTTATATGCTTGCAGTCGATTGCGCCGACACAGTTGTAAAAATTGTGTTGTATTTGAAAATCATAGGCAACACTTTTCCATTCTTCTGCTGTAGTTGGCATCTTAAAAAAAGTACATGATCAATATTTTTACTTTCAGGGACTTCAATCATAAGGTGAAGACGAGGAAAACTATAGCGAGAAAGATTCACATGAAGTAGAACAACAAAGCAACTCTAGAGAAGAATCAGCCGGCTCATCTTTTTTGTGTATCAACGTTCTTGCTCCTCCTCCTCGAAAGAATAGAAAAACTGGACCTATATCAAGACAAAATGAGCTCATACAAAAAGCCTGTTGTTTATTATCATCAAAACCAGCATCTTCAAGTAACATAAATCCAACAGCATTATATTGGAGCCAAAAACTAGAAAAGATCCACCCAACTCAGAGAACGTTTGCTGAAAAGGCAATTAATGATATTTTATTTGAAGCGGAACTTGGAACTTTGGAAAGAGATTCTGTACAAATTAATGTGTCCCGTATAGTCGTACCGGGCTTGCGTCTTTGACATCTCCCTATAGTGCTAACCCTACAGCATTACCAGATTCACATATTTGACTATCTGGATCAAGTACTTACGTCCAAATTCCATCTCGGTCTCCTCCTACACACCCTTCAAACATTAATGCTGTATACACTAGTTCATCTCAGGGTTTGTATTCAAGGTCCACACCACTACAAATAAATACCTCAAACCAAAGCGAAATGAATGCAACTTGCATAGATTCACCTGTATTGAACCACACAGACATCACTCAACAACCAGATACTCGTTACCTAATCCATATTCCTGAATCTAAAACAATTACACTTTGTCTACTCATTTTACATCATTTAAAGGTGATTAAAACATGTAGACGCTTTCCTTACTGTACAAATATAATAAAGGTACTATGATTGAGACTTTTTTATTACTTACCTTAATATAGTCGCGAAGGACATATATCAATGCTTCACAGAGGTATCCATGACTGCTTGGCTTACTGACTCTGGGGACATTATCCCTGCAAACCTTATATCTTTAAAATTTCTTCCTGTTGCCAGATAATGCAATGTCAGTGCCAATTTTTTTCTTACCGAAATTGCCCTTCTCATTATTGTATGCTTTTTGGACAAAAATGGTGTAACAAATTCAAGAAGGTTTTCAAAAGAGTTATCAGACATGCGGAAATAATTTTTATAATCGTCTATTTCCTTGTAAAGTCGAATTGCATTCAATAAATTAAGATGCGTGAATTTGTCTCGATCTTGAAGCCATTTCTTTATCCACCTCTTTCTTTTCACTTGTCGTTTCAACGAAAATGCCAGTAAAATAGCTACACTCACTTTAACCTGATTTTCTGTCTCCATTTTTGAAACGGCTTTCACAAAAATTATGAAAATACTGTCAAGATAAATATTGTACGTCTGGAGTCTATTGTGATCCATCAGTAAATATCGTGGTATCGTGATCCAAGTATCGCGATAAACATTGAACGTGTAGAGTTCGCCAATGATAGCTCGATCCACTGAATGGTATCTCAATTTTGCAAGTACCGAAATGCAGCGACTGCTACAAAGACGTAAAAGTATTTGAATGTTTTTGATTTTTGAACCGCCTAGACTAGAACTAGAATCAGAAACAACATCCTCAGGTTGTTTTTTCACACTAAAACAGCCGCGTAGGCAGAAACATAAATACCGGAGCACCGCGACTGTGATTTTTTATGTAAGCAGAACTGGGAAAAGCCTCCTCAGGCTGATTTTTCCACAATCTCGACATCCAAGGTACAACAGGACCGGTCGTACCGATCCACTATTTTTACACTCTTGTACCGGCCAGTTCTCCACGTACAGAGTTCGATGAAGTTGAGGGAATGAAAAGTAGGCGCCTGGCAGGCGTAGCGAGTACCAATATCACAAAAGAGAGATCAAAGGAGCAAAGTCCGCTGGCATATCGGTAGAAGAGTGCTGAGATCACGAATCACCCGTAAACGTGAGAGAGGTTCGAGACAGACCGTTAGGGAACTGTGATTGTGAATATAGAGAAATGTGTGTAGTAGTCGTTCACATGGTGGATTAATTTCACCAAATGACACTATGCTTAATGTTAAATATATATATTAAATATAATTTGAAATCAACTTAAATATCAGTATATTATGTACATTTCTTATGAGCATTTTAGCACCTAATTATCTCATCGTAATTAAAAGAATATATACACATATCCACTATGCCCTCTTGGTTCCCGAGCCGTGTAGTTCAATGAAAGACTCCAAAGCCTTGGGCACTAATCCTTTGTAAGGTATTTGATGACGTTTCACAGCATTCGCAGCTAAGCACCTCAGACTCAGGTTCATTTGGGTTTTCAGAATTATCTCTGCTACACCTACAAAAAAAGCTTACGTGAATATTCAGTTTAACCAGTGAATATTTTTATTATATCAGTAATGGTTAATAGAAAACAAACAGAGGCAACATTTCGACCGATGACCGGTGCATTTTCTTTTGAAAAAAATGGCCCAGTTTCCGTGTTTACACCGCCCTGGGTCCCGTTAATGTTTTTAAATGCCAGGGCACCGCGGCTGCTATAAGGAGCTTAAAGAAACTTTGTTAAACCGATATTTGAACTGCAAAAGGTTAGTGGAATTGGGAAAAGAGTCCTCATGTAGATTGTTCGACAATCTCGATACCCTAGAGACAAAGGAGCGGTCGTATCGGCCAGTTCTGGATGTACCTTCCACCCGGTTAGGATGGGAGACCTAAGAGAGGCGGGTCTGTCTGGCAGGCACATCGCTAGAAATCATGGAGGAGAGCTCTGAGGAGCAAAGCCCATTGGCGTAGCGGTAGAAGAGAGCTAGAATGGCGACGGCCCGCCGGTGATAAAGGGGCCCGAGACTGTCCGTTAGAGAAGAGCCATCAATCAGGTGGACATCTCTCCTCTGATCAGCATGGATAACGTAGTTAGGGCTGCAGCACCCAAAACGTGTGAGCAATACTCGAGGTTAGGTCGTACCTGGGCCTTGTACAGAGTGAGAAGCTCGTGTGGCAAAAAGTACTTCTTAGCCCTAAACAAATAGCCTAGCTTTTCCTCAGCAGCTGCCGCTATTGATGAGATGTGTTCATATCAGATCAAGTCTTCGAAACCAGATGAGCGCTAAGACACTATTTGTTCGTCAAGGTGTACTATGTTTTGAAAGCATTAAACTGTACAAGATTGTTGCGCCTCCAAGCAGTGGTAACTTCCAGATCTCTCGTCAGAGAGGAAGTCTCTGCTAGTCTTCCTTTCTCCAGCTCACCAGCGGTGCTTGGCTTGTCGCTCTGAATTCCTGCATGTATAGTGCTGTGATCGGCAAAGCTGTGGATTGGATTGCTCGTACAGAAAAGGAGGTTGTTAATATATAAGAGGAACAGTGTCTCTTATCCCCAATTGAGCACGTGTGGGATATGATGGGTAGGAGATTGCTCAATTTGCAACGTCCTCCTCAGACTCTAGAAGCACTTCGAGAGGAGTTGGTGGTTGCCTGGAATGAGATACCACAGGAGGACATTGACCACCTGATCAGAAGCATGCCTAGGCGCGTTGGAGAATGCGTAAGCACATCAGGGTGCATCCACACATTATTAAAGGTCAAAGGGCTTTAACGGCGCTCTCACAGTCAAGCAGAGTTTCTGAGGGGAATCGGGGGGGTGATAGGGAAAGGCTAGTAGGACGGCGTTGTGACAAGGCAAGCGCTCTACGTTAGAAAAGGATAGTAATACGCAGAGGTGTGCTGTTCGCGTGCCTGGTTGAATTTGCATATTGCACAGAGTCGGATTTGATTTGGATATACGATCTAGCGTACGACTGTTTCCCTATTTTGGCGCATAGTATACTCAGCCCTTATTACTCTTATTACCGTTATTGTATTGTTGTATTATCGTGTTGTTATTGTTGTGTTGTTATTGTTGTGCTGTTATTGTTGAGTTGAGAAAAGTAGGTACCAAAACAATTATGAATTTTAGCATTCATTTTGCCAATAAATTAGACTATACGTAGTTACTATTATAACTATATTTTATATGTTATTTTAGCTTAAAAATGACAGCAAGGTTTCGCATATGCATTCTCTAACAGAGACAGATGGCATGGATCTTCAAATTCAGGTGTGTATACCCTTTTTTTTTAGATTTGCACCAGAGGCTGATATCATTTCTGGCAATTCTGATTAAAAATGCAGTAAGTTTACTTCATGACGTCGATAATAGTATTGTAGAGCAGTTTAACTGAATCATAGCTAAATTCATTGGGGGTAAACGGATTAATTATTGCAAGAAGAGATCCTACCAAGGAAGATGTGCTGCAGCCGTAGTGAGCCACAATACACAGCGACCTGTTTGTGTGATCCAAAAGCGGCTACTCCCTAGTTTCAGTCCAACCTCTTTGATTGCTAAAGTTGAAGAAAGGAGAGCGCACAAAAATCTGAAAAGGAAGCTGAAACCAAGGAAAATTAAAATCAGAGATAGTGATACTAAAGAGAACGCATCCTATGGGGAATTCTGTGAGAAGCCTGACATGAGCAACGACGATAGAGGCTGCCAAGGTAGAATTCTTGAAAAAATTTGCAAAAACCGACTCCAAAATTTCCCAGATCGAGCAAGCCACAAAATCTCAGGATTGCAATTTGTGGCGTCTTCATCGAAGAATGAGGTTGACTGCGTCTCGGTTTGGTGAGGTTTGTAGAAGAAGAGATACAACAAGTTGCAGAGCTCTAGTAAACGCCATAATATACCCAACCGAATTCTTTAGCAATGCATGTGACTATGGAAAAAAGCATGAAAGCGTGGCAAAATCAGAAATAGAGAAATCATATTCGCAATCAGAAGTACAATCTTGCGGGTTGTTTATTGATAGGACCCATCCATTTCTGGCAGCATCGCCAGATGGTTTGATAGGCGAAAAAGGTCTGCTAGAAATTAAATGTCCATGGTCTGCTAGAGAAATAGCCCCTGAAGAGGGCATTCTGAACAAAAAAATTACGTTTTGGATAAACGATGAAATAAATAAAAAGCATAAGTGGTATTACCAAATTCAAGGGCAGCTACACGTTGCACAAAGAGAGTACTGTGTGCTTGGTGTTTGGACCCCGTATGGTTTGAAAATAGACGTCATTCGAAAGGATGACGTTTTCTGGAAAAATGAAATGGAAGAGAAATTGAAATTCTTCTACATGAACTGCTTGCTCCCAGAACTGGTCGATCCCAGAAAAAGCAGAAATATGCCAATCCGCGATCCCATCTTGAAGGCACAAGAGAACCGTTTAAACAAGAAAAAAATCAAATCCAAGCGAATAACCAAAATTTCTGTGTTATGTGCTGCGGTTATAATATGGTTCAAGATGACACACGGGTTGATGACGTCAGTTACACGAATCGCTTGAACGTGTTGGTTTTAACCGCGGTTTTGTTGCAAATTGTTTATTTTAGAAAAGCGCGTATATAATCTCTGATTGTTTTTATTATCACTTAATAATCGGTGCTTTTTCGTCTACAACTGTATGTGGAAAGTTTAAATAAGAAACCTTTCATAATATTCATGAGAGAAATGTTTTTTGCAGATTTTTTTTTTAATGATGGAACCATGGCTTTGTAGCTATGATAACTTTCAATTCTCTAAATTTTTCCGCATGTCAAAGAAAACATTTATTGATTCAGCAGAAATGATGAAAAAAGAAATTAGCAAAACCGTATACAGGTGGATATCATCTAGTGAGTTTATATGGCCATATTTTAATATTCTTGTGGTATATGGCTACACAGGTTACTTTGTTAAGCATAGGAACTACATTTAAAGTGTCCCCAACAACCGAAATGAGTATAACTAATAAGGTGCTCCACTTTATGGTAAAACTGAAGTCAGCCTGTATCAATTTTCTCAAAAATGAAGCTGAAGTACAATAACAATATCCAATACCCGGCAGAATTCTAACTTGTCACATTTCAAATAATAACCAGAAATATAAAACTACTCTTGAGTTGGGTAAATACCACAATTTTGCGGTGATAACTATGACATATAACAGCTGATTCGTGACGTCACGGATCTTATAACCAAACTGATAACTACACTCGCTTGAACGGATCGGTAAATACCAACCCAAAATGGTAAATACCATTTCCATTTGGTTATCCGCTTGAATTTGATTAAAGAGTTCTTGAGAATTGGCTATTTTTGCTGTACTCGGGTACCAAAATGGAAGAGATTAGCATATTACATTGTACGCCGTTACTAACCCCTTCGTGTCGGCAAATGCGGTGTGCAGATCTCGCTTTAGCAGCGATGTGCGAGATGTTATGCTAATCTTTTCCATTTTGGTACTAGTACCAGATGTTCACTATTTATTGTATATTATGTATATATTGTTTATTTAAATAAAAGTCAATCGTCAGGCTCAATAGCACGTAGCATCGGCTAGCTTTATCTAGTCTGTTAGATGGCGAATATTGAAATGTCACATTGACACGTTAAGCGCCACAGTAGAATCTGAAAATCCAGTCCACTGGGCCAAACTGTTATTATTGTCAAATTAGCTTGTTTTAAGTTTCGGTTTAATATTTTGACTTGACTTTTTTCTCAAATCCTATGATTTTTCCCCTTTTTTGATTTTTTTTTCTGAGGTACTAATTGTATGTCGCGTGGCCCACAGACCAGTCGGGTCGCGTGGCACATAAGTCGCGTCGCGTTTTTTGCAAGTCAAGACTTGCATCATGTCGCGCGTTGAGCACTGTTTCGTGTCATTTATTATTGAAGCGTTGTTGGTATTGTACGTCATCTTGTCCAAATTGCTTTACTGTTTATAAATTATTGAATACCAAATTTGTGATGTCGCATTACGAAGCGGAGCAAAAAAGGCTTGAACAATTGTGTAATGAAATACTATCGGATGAAGAGAGTGGCAGTACTGAGTTATGTGGGGATGTATACTTATCTGATGCGTATTCTCCAAGTGGTAGTGAATCAGATAGTAGTTGTAGTAATTCCATTATTATCTGTATTACTGTTTATTTATACCAGTATTTTGTTTATCCCTGCATAAGACTTTGTCAATCTGTTTAGTTTATAAGAGTTCCTCCATATTTGTGTTCGTTAGAATATCGACATTTACCATAACTTACTGATTTGCTGTGAAATTACTTTGTTCATTTTTGAATGAGAATGTCTGATTATTTTATAAGATTTGCTTTTTGTTTTAGATTTGTAGAATATCCTCTTTTTGTAAAACTCTATAAACAACGTGTTTTTTAATGTTTTCATTTCCAATTCAGTATAATTTGGTCCCTCAGGCCACGGACTCTTGGTTCCCGTAAGAAAATCACATCAGCATGGCACACGTCTTACGTTACGCGGCC